CTGTCTTTCCCCCTTGCTCGCTCCGTTCTTCTCCCTGTCCTTGACTCCCACGCCCTGCCGTGGGCCACCAAGTACCGTGTACTGGTGGCCGATGCCCGAATATACGCACATCACATGACCATGGCGCCACCATCCTGGCCGATCGCCCCTTTTCCGCGATCTGAGCGTGGGTGTGCCCCCTCCTGGTGGGCAGGCGGCCATCCTCCAGCGGCCAAGCGCTGGCCACCCCTGCCCCTGTTCCTGGCCGCCTTTTCGCTCTCGCCCTGTCCCGATTGCTTGTTGCTTGCACACCGCACATCGCACATCGCACATCCTTCTCCTGCCTCCCCGGCGCTGTGGCTTGCCCGCTCGGTCTCCCTCTCCCTCCCTCCCTCCCTCCCTCTCCCTCCCTCCCTCTCCCTCTCCCTCTCCCTCCCTCTCTCTCTCTCTCTCTCTCTCTCTCTCCCGCCCCCCTCATCCATGCCCCCACAGGCTCCCGCCCACCCGGCCGTGTCGGCCCTGCTTCTGGATCGCATCAAAGACCAGCCCCATCGAGTATGTGGTGGCTCGCCATTTGATGGCCCCTGCAGCCATGCGCTGGGTTTTCTTTTCTTCCCCACCTTTCCTCCCCTGTTCTCGCCTTGCTGACGCCCTGCATGTAGTGTGTGCACTGTTCGGGCCGGCTGTCGCGGCCCAAGCGGCCAGGACAGCCGAGCTCCTGGTTGCTTGGCATCCCCGAGGTGTCGCCATGGGTCAGCGCCCTGAATCCTGGGCCTGACGAGGCCACGGCCAGCCTCCTCCGGGAAATGGCCATTCAAGTTTGCTTGGCAGCCCCCGGGCGGGCCAGCTTCTTCCATGCCGAGTGCTTGCAGGCACCGGTCTTCCTCCGGTCCACGGCCGACTTGGCATCCGTGGATCCCGGGGCCGAGGATGCCGTCGACCTGTGGCTGTCCTTGGCCCTGTCGATGCGGTCCCTGTCGGGCGACGTGGCTGCCGGATCGGACGACGACATCGAGCTGGCCATGCCGGTGTCGGGCCCGCCAGTGTGCCCGAAGGTGGCCGACATCGGCACCGCCCCGCTGGGCGGCGGCCACGCCCGTCCGGATGAGCATTCCTCCCAGGCGCCCAAGCGTCGGCGCGTGGCCGCGGCGAAGTCGGCCGCCGACGCGGGCCCGGCGGCCGCCCCCTCGCCCGCACTCCCCTGGCCCGAGCGCCTGGCCTTCTACACGACAGCCACCATGCGAGCCATGCTCTCGTACGTCCTGCCGGATGGCGGCGGCCCTCCGCCTCCGCCTCGGCGTCGTGCCCTTCTCTCCCCCCCCCCCCTGCGTCCTGGCCTCTTGCCGCGCGATCCCTGCCCTCCCTCCCCCCTCCCCCCCCTCCCCTTGCACTGACCTGAGAGATGTCCGAAGGTGCAACATGCAGCCGACAACCGGCTCGGTGGGCGAGTTGCGCCAGCGCATCCGCGAGCTGCGCCGCCATGGGACCCTGGCCCGGTGCCCGCGCTGCCGGCGGGCCACGCTGCGCCTTGGCCATGGGCAATCCCCCGGGCCCGGCGAGGCGGTCGAATGCCCGGGCTACTTTGTCGGGTCCAAGTTCCGGGAGTGCGGCTTCAAGGCCGCTGGCGCCGGCGCTCCGGCGCGGGGCCTTTGGCGGCCCCTCTCTGCCCCATGGTCGGCCGAAGTGCGCGCCGCACGCGAGGAGCTCGCCGGTGCCCTTGCCCGCGGGCAACTCCTGCCCCCCGGCCCGGAGGATCTGGCCAGCGGCGGCCAGGACCAGGAGGATGTCGCGGCCCGCCGGCGTCGAACCCTGCTCACTGCCGGCGGGGACCTTGTCTGGGAGGCCGACGACGAGGCGGCCGACGATCCCTTCGCCCCCGGGGGCTGGGTCTTCCAGGAGTGATCGATCTGCCAATGGACCGCCGGTTGCCTGAGTTGATGTGTGTTGGTGTTCCGTCCCCCTTTTCCGATGTGTGCGGGGGCCGCCGACCAAGGGGGCTGAGGGGCGGGGGGGGGGGGGGGGGGGCAGATCGCGGGTTTTTTTAATCGGCTGGCTGACCGCGCCCTTTCATGGCCCGGGAATGCCCTCCCGCCGAGGCTCCTCTGTCCCTCTGTCTGTCTCCCTCTCTCCCCCTGCGGCCAAGCGCGCACATCTCCCTTTCCCCGTGCCTTTCTGCCTCCCTGCTCTTGCTGTTTGTGTATCTTCTCGCGGGGCGCCCTCAAGAAAGCATGAGCCTGGCAACCGCACCCGGGTTTGGCTTTGCCAGCACCGGTCCAGCCGAGTCCCTGATGGCCGAGCAGGTGGCACCTGCCGATGTCGGGGGCGCGCCGGCCCCCGGGCAAGATCCCCCTGCCACAGATCCCCCTGCCCCAAATCCCCCTGCCGATGGAGCTCCCACCGCCGGGCCCCCGGCCTCTGCGCGGCCCTCCTTTCTGGAGCTCTACGAAGCAGGGAACCTGGCCCGCAGTGGGCGCCAGCTGATGGCCAGTCTGTTGGCGGTGCGTGTTCCGACTTTCACACGCACCTATGCACACACACACACACACACGCACACAATTCCACATTCCCCCATGCCCACACGCCCATGCGATGTTCCTTTCCGTGTGCCACAAGCCGCCTAACCCCCCCCCCCCCCCCCGGGTCCGCTGGGCGTTGCCTGTGCGCTTGCTTGGCGGATGGCAGAAATACGCCCTCTTCGAGTCGACCCCAACCGGCGTGCGCAACTTCATCCTCTCCTACCGCGAGTATTTATCGCCGGTGGCCACAGGCTTCCTGCTGGACCTGCCCTGTCTCTTGGCCTTCGGTGCGCCCTCCCCCCCCCCCTCTCGCTGAATCCTCACTTCGGGCACTTCTTCCGCGCTTCAGCTCACCGGCCTTCCTGACCCTTTGCGTCCCCATTGTTCCCGGTGTACGTGCGCGCGTGTGTGTGTGTGTGTGTGTGTGTGTGTGTGTGTGTGTGTGTGTGTGTGTGTGTATGTGGCCCGGGGGGCGGGATACAGATTCGTCCTTCGCTGAGCACCTCCACGGATTGCGGCGCTTCGAGCGGGCGCCCGACACCCCGGAGGGGTTCCGGCCGTTGACGGTTGGGTCGCGCGCCCGGGCTCTGGCGGTCTTGGCCTTGTTGCCGATTGCCATGCACCTGCTCCGGCGCTGGCTGGGGCTCAACGGCAGCGGGGCAGCCGCCGCCGCCGCCGCCGCCACCGATGAGGCCGAGGATGAGGAGCTCGGCATGCGGGTGGACTTCGGCCCGGCGGCCGGGTCGGACCCCGGGACGGCCGGCGAAGTTGCTGCCGCGTTGCCGGCACCGGCCGGCCCCTTGACGGGCATGCAACGAGCGCGCGCCTCGGCGGCGCATGCCGGCCGAGTGGCCCTTCGTGTGGTATCCATCTTCCCCCCCCCCCCCCCGTCCTCCCTCTCTCTCTTCCCCTTTCTTCGCCCCTGCTCCTCTTCCTGTTCCCTCTGCTGCCTTCATCGGCGATCTTCAGCTCTGTTCCCTCAATGCAGGCGCCTTACATGTCTCCCCCGCCCTCCCCCTACCGGCCGCCAGCTCGCCGCTCTCGCGCGAGTGTGCTTCAACACCTCCCAGTGGACGCGCCTTTGCCTGGCCCTTCTTCACATCTCCGGGTGGAAGCCTCGGCGCCTCTTCCCCACCTCGGCGTCCGCTTGGCTGGCCGGACAACAGCTCCATCGGACGGTATGCCCCGGACCCTGTGCCGCTCCCCGGGCCGCCCCTCGCCTGCTTACCCCTCCCCCCCCTCCTGGCCCCTTCATCCCTCCCTTCCTCGCCCCCTTGCCGGCGCCGCCGGCCCAGCTCGAGGTGCCGGGACACATTCCAGACAGCGATGCCGGCTGGGCGCGAGCCGTCCGGTTTGGCGTGGCGATCGCCGTCTCAGCCGCGCAAACTTGGATCTCGCACAGCCTCCACTCGGAATCGGCGGCCTTCTCGAAGCCCCCTGTGCCGCGCGTGGTTCCCCCCGCACCGCCGGTCAACCTCCCCTGGCGCGTGGTACGCCGCGACCGATGGCCACGCCCCTTTCGCACCGCTGCTGACCGGGCCCGCGCCCCCTTCTCCCGCTCCCCTCCCCCCTCCGGCTCCCTTTCATGCTCTTCGCTTGCCCTGCGCTCCCCCCGCCCCTTTGTATGGCAGCCCTTCGGCTCGACCAAGCTCGCCGAGGCTGCCTGCCCGGAGTGCGGTGCTTCGCCGCCCGAGGTCCCCGCCGTCCGGGGCGGCCGGCGCGGCCCGGTCACCTCCGGGCCCCCGGCCGCGGCCGACCCCCGGATCCACTGCTATGGCTGCCTCTTCCGCGCCGAGGCCGCCCTCGGGGAGCTGGGCGATCGCGACGCCATCCGGCGCATCCTCTTGTGAGGGGGCGCACAATATACCCGTATCACGTGCCGACGATTGTGGGTCTTCCGTGTCAATTTTCGATGGGCGTCCCGCGCGCTTTTCCGTGCCCTGTTTTCCGCCCCCGGGCCGGGGAGAGGTGGGATCCGCGGTGGGATTGAGGGCTGCGCGTCGTCGCCGGGGGCACCGAGCCCGGGGCATCGAGGCCGGCACCCGGCGCCGACGTGTTTCATAGCGCAGTTCCGCACCTGTGCCTCGACCACGGGCCTGCCATCTGTTGATGAGCCCGGCGCTCGGACTCCCCCCCCCCCCGCCTCCCTCCCTGTCCACTTTGCTGCTCCTTCGCTGCTCCCCCTGACCGCCCGCTGCGCTTGGGG